CGTGATTTATTTTTATATCGAAATGCAATAAAATTAATTTTATGAAAGTCTTGAACTTTATTTGGATGAAATGAAATGAATGCTCGAGAATTTACATCAATAAAAATCTCCTAAATTATATTATAAATAAGTTTACACTGGTGTTTGTACCCGGATCACGTGACAGTTATAATTTTCACCGGTGTCACTCCCCTCCCTTAGAATATTTTCGGTAAAAAATTATTATTAGTCTCGCCCTATCCGTCACATGGCTAATTTCTTAATTTATTAATGCCGGCGAAAATAATGTTAAAGCTGGCCGTGTCTCGTAACACGTGTACAATACACCATTTACCAGTGTTGGGATATGACCAGTTCATAATAACAATTTGATATGACTTTGGTCATGTATATAAATGACCTTCGGTCATTTGATCAATAAGTCATAAATTTTATGATCAATCATTATGACCTTTATGACCATTAGTCATATAGTCATTTCATATTATGTTAGCTAATAAAAATTGAAAAAGTGTCGCATAAAATTTTTTTTTTTTAAAAAAATAGATTAGATTTATATATATATATATTTAATTTATTTTTATTATAAAAATTTATACATAAAATAAATAAGTCAGAATTTTAAAAAATTATTGCAATTTTTTTAAAAAAAAATATCGCAAAATTACGAAGTTTAAATTTTTATCACATTGAAATAAAATTTTCTTTAGAAAGCAACCTTTCATGTTCTTTTATTGTAAATAACATTTGGGACCTTTGCAGAGGGTAAACAGCCAAAAAAAATCAATTTACTTTTATATGCCAAATATGATTTTTGGGTCACAATATGTTCAGATTTAACATTAACTCATTTTTTTATTTTTTCAGCCATTTTCCCCTTTTCTATTGCAAAAGTCCCATATAAAAGCTAAGCTATTAAAAAAATATTATGCTATAGTAAACATTTTCAACCAATAATAAATTGTTCTAATTTTAAATATTGAGTCAAATTAATTAATAAGATAATATTAAAAAATTTTGCTATTATAAAAAATACATAAAATTTTATTATCCTATAGGACATTGTTACACTAATTTTTGTAATACTTGAAATCAATCTCGTAATACTTATAAATACTTCAAACCCTATGCAAACATCCACTATTATAATGATTTTATATTAAATAATTTAATTAAAGTTAAAAAATTTTGAATTTTAAATGGGTCAAACTTTTTTAACTTTTTGAATAATAATGTTGATCATTTCCAAATTTCGCGTTGCAGTTAGATTTTTGAGATGTTACACAAAAAGAGAAATTTTGACGACCTAATTGCTTGTTTTGTTAATAAGATAATCGAAAAATCAAATAAGGTTCATATATCTTATAATAATATGAATCAAAATTTAGTTGGAGGGGTGATTTTAATAGCTTAGCTCTCATATGTAAAATGATTATAAATAACAGATAATATTCGCCTTTTTCTATCCCTATTTTTTATTATCATGTAAAGCTCGAGAAAAATAATTACAAAAAATTTTTATATGGTAAAGATGATAGTATTATTAGTTGAAATAGTAGATTTAATTCACTAAAATAAAAAAAATGTTAGATTTATTTGTTTATTTATGCCGAAGTGATTGTAAAATAATCTTACCTTTATTTTTTTTTTCTTGGAAATGGAATTATATTATAGCAACTAGCAACCTTTCGCATACATTGCCATGCTCATATTTTTCAATCTCTAAACTATAGAGATTTTAGTAGTGCATATAGTTTAATAGTATTGCCTTTATTGTTTATCTAATTTTCAAATAAAGTATACCATTATATGTTTGAATATATGATAATGTATAAAAATGATACATTTTTAGTAATTCCTTATCATAATTCCGTATATTTTGATAATAAGTTGATTTTTGCATATTTTTTTTAAAATTAATATATACAGAATTATTAAATATTGATGCATCCAATTTAATTTCGCTCGAAAGATCATGAAATTCGCTTATAAATTGTTTTGATAATTGTAACAAGTCCTTTGTAGATCATTTTGATGTCAGGATGAACCGCCAGGCTGTTCTTATATACGTTGGAAATCCTTAAACAACTCAACATACACGGCTCGCCCTTCTTATACAGTATTGCATAAATACACCGTAAACCTTTCTTCCTTTGCAATATTTCGCTTTCGCCATTTTAACCTCATAATTTTAATATTATAACTTAATTTATTTTTTATTTTATGTATTTTGCAAAGTTTTAATTAATTAATATTGTTAGTGATTTAGCATTTATTAGTTTAATATATTGACATTGCGAAAATGTCGAAAGCCGATGTTGAGGCAGCACTGATTAATTGATATTAAATTTATCGTCACAATTACTTGATTAATTTTTATTAAATTTCTTCTGCTTACAATAAAAATTGTTTATAAATACATAAACGAAGAACTGAATACAACATGATCAATAATTATGAGAAAAAAATGTTAAATTAAAATTATTATTCATTTATTCATTGCAAATTTTAAATATTAAAATTTGATAAAGAATTATGCTATATTATTACTACTACGCTTATTTTCAACAATACTTCCAGGTAAATTATGTTGCTCATTAATGTATTCAGAAGATTGTTCATTCCTATTTCTATTCCATTTATAAAATAAAAATCCAAATGCCATAATTATAACGGCGCCTACAGTTCCTCCAATTGATGCAATTATAATTTTCATTGTGAACAATTCATTATTGTTATTAAAAACACCATTTATGGAAGTAGTTGGCGATGATTGTGTTGTTGATTGGTCAGAATTTGCCGTTACATTTACATTTGTTATTTCAAATGAATTAACCCACGTATAATTTCTAATATCCATTATATAAATGTTAGAATTCTCTAATAGTAATGGATTAGCATTTGGTTGTGTAATATTTCCTATTGAGATATATTAAAATAAATTTAAGAATTTTGAATTATTTCATTAAAGCAATGTAAAAGATTTACTTACCAAAAGCTACGATCATATAATTTTCAACCAGATCAGCTGTATGAGCTGTAAGTGATGGAACCTGAACAATATTTGAATTAACTTTCGGTACAATCAACTCAAATTGTTCTGTTTCCAAGTTTACAACAAACAAATCTGGAGTAACTTGAGCATTATTAGTACCCGAACCACCCCCATAAATAATGATTTTATCATCTGGAGCTATTTTAATTAAAAATAAAAGAGTAAATAAATAAATAGATTAAAATATGAAATAAATATAAATCATTATTATATACCTAAGACTGCCGAATGACGATAACGATTTTGAATTATATTTGAAAATTTCGCTATCTATAAATATATACAATAAATTATTTTGTTTTAAATCTGTTTATTAAATAAAATAATTTTGATACATACTTTTATTGACCAAGTTAAGGTCTTTGTATTAAAAAGATTAATACTTTTAATATCAACTTCTTGCATAATGTCTTCACGCAATTCTAAACCGCCAATAAATACAATTACTCCATTAGATAATAGTGTTGCGGTATAAGAAAGTTTCGTAATAGGATTATTAGCTGTATTGATTAACCATGATAATTCAGCAGTGTTTAGGATGACCATATCATTGAAATATTTTAGTGTTGTTGAACCTAAAAATCTATCAGCATATCCACCAAAAATATATATTTTTCCGGTATCGTCAATAACACCCATTGTATTTCTTCGTCTTTCAGGTGGAGTCCCTTCGATATTAGGTACATTCCACGATAAGGAATTTAAATTGAATTTGATACAAAAGTATCTTGATTCAGATCATTGTTCATTAATCCACCAAATAAATAAATACTTTGTTCCTTATCATTCAATAAAGCAGTTCCCCAGCAACTTTTGAATGGCATTCCTGCATTTTGCGTAAGAGAAACCCATGGTGGAGCAGCTAAATTAAATGACTGAGATAAATCGAGGTAAAACACTTGATTTGTGCAAGACTTAGCATTGTCAACATATCCGCCAAAAAAATACAGCTTATTTCCAACTAGGACTGTATGATGAGCTAGACGTCCTTCAGGAGTAAATGACTCAACTCTAAAAAATAAATAGCTTAACATGAAAGCGAACATGTAAAGTAATTTATATTTTTTAAACGTCATGATTTCAATCAATTTAATTAATTTCAATATTAAAAAAATATTTTTTTTTTGGTATTTAAATTTATAATCATCCGTTGAGAAAAATTTCATTATAATCCTTTATTTGGAAAATTTGCATTTCACAATTATGCGACCTTTTTTTTTGTGTATAAATAAATGATTAAAATTCTGTGACAAAACGTTGTACTTGCGATCTTTTTTTTGTGTATAAATAGATGACTAAAATTCGTGTAACAAAACGTTATACTAGTAGCTGCTGCTTCTTTTTTTTTTTTTTTTGCAAAATTTTAAACCTTAGCGGTAATTATTCATATATTCCAGCAAAAGTATTTATTCCGCAGCAAAGCTATCATAGTTACCTGTTTATTGTCCTGATGAAACAATGATGTCATGACGTTGTTGGATGAAATTGTTACATCACATCATGATCATCGATCGAATTCAAATTTAAAATATATCAATTGTAATAAATTCGTTAAATTCATTGCCAGAATTTCACTCTCTCACACCTTTGTATTTATCCAACTCATATCCAGCCATTTCTTTTGGCAACATTGGTAAGTTTTATTTTAATACTGTGCCAAACTTAAAGAATTCGGCATTTATTTGCTCAATGTTATATCTAGTATAGGCTTATCGGTCCAATGGTACAGTAAGATAAAAATTTCTAATATTCATTTTTTACTATTTAGCTGCTAATTTGAAAATTTCGAAGTCATAAATGAAGAATCCTAAATATTTTAAGTAAAATTGGGATGTAAACAAATTATCTGTATGCATCTTGCCATTGTTGTTTACATTAAGATATTATTAAAATACCTCTAGAAGTTTTCTTAAAAAGGCAGTATTTCCCGTATGCCGATCTTAAAATTCAATCAAGAATAAAAAAAAAAAGAAAGGAAAGAAAAGAAAAGAAACCAAATAGTTTTTTTACGGTTTATTTTCATGTTTCCTCAAGAATTAAATTTTCTTGTCAATAAAATTTTATAATAAATCGTACAATGTTTCGAACATTATTTTAATTGGTAATATGCTTGGAAATTTTCAATAGACAATACCTGAATTAATCGTAATTGATCAATATAGAAATGAATTTGGATTAAAAAAGGAACACACAATCTAACAACAGGATTATGTTTAAAGATTTATGTATTAGGTGTGATGTAAACCAAATTTAATGTTAATTTCGGTGACTCAACTATGTTTGATAGCAAAAAATGATATAATAATTACGATGGCGGAGAATTCTTCATTCTTGAATAGGTTATACAGTAACATCTCTGATGGGAATTACGATCTTTAATTTTTATAACTGTAAATAAAAAGTAAAAGTAATTGTAAATAGGGATTATATCTCAATTTTAACAAAATTTCAATAATATTATAGCTAATTTCAAAAGTTCGGACCAATCAAATGATTAGAAATTTCGCAGCGCCAATCAAATTACAGTATTAGCGTCACGAATATATTTTTTCTATGACTTTATGTATTTTAAAACTTGGACATAAACACTCTTTACCATAAGTTTTTTCATATAGTAAACAAATGAGACAACTATTCATTTTTAAACTTAAATAACGTGAGTAAAAAAAATTGAATACGTAATTTATATTTGATTGGTGCTAACTGATTTATAAATTTGATTGGCGCCAAGAAATTTCTAATCATTTGATTGGCACCGACATCCGAACAATCCGACAGTGCCGATAAACTAAATTTATATGTCCCGCAACTTTTGAAATTAGTTGTAATAGTTATTCGTCACTTCGTGCCGAATAACTATTATATTGGGTAAATCAATTTTGATTCCCATTATTATTAGCTACCTTATAGGTAGCGGAAGTTATTCGGCTCGAAGTGCCGGATAAGTGATTTACTGTATCCGGTGTCCTGTGATTAAGCTATTGTTTACTATTTTTTAATTTTTTTCCACAGACAATTTTTTCTTTTTTATGAATAATTTCGCAATTATTAAATAAAAAACAAATAAAGAGGCCATTGCAAGAATTTCATCATCCGAATTAAATACATATAAAAAGAAAAAAAGAAAGGAAAAAATATTATAAGTAAACTTATTATACGAATTGTTCTATATATACAGTAATTAATTAGTTTTTAATGCAATTTATTAATAGAAATAATGCTTGATAAAAGTTATGCCTGATAAACGATTTATTTTAGTCATGTTAATTATAAAAAAATCACGGGATATCGGATAAAATAAATTATGTAAACTATGCGTTTATAATTTTGGCCAAAATTATTAAATTAATTTATAATTTAAATTAACAAACCGAAATTCTAAAAACTTTGTTTATAAAACCAATATATTATTTCCTATTAATTTTACTATAATATTTAACATAATGATAGGTTCTTTAGATAATTTCATTATAATTACTATAAATTAAATTAAAGTTAACTTGGAATTTTAAATTCATGTATAATAGAATTTAGTTTATTCTATTTGAGAATGAATATATTTTGGATTAAAATATTGAATAGCTTTAAAATTTGATAAGGCTGAAGATTTAAAATTATGTTTTTCAAATTATTGTAATATACTTTTAAATTATCAACAAAAATATTTGTAAAATTGTCAACATTAACTTATTTAATTATAATTTTAATTTTATTTCTTCTAATAATGGATATATTATTTTAGATTTTAATAATACATGTATTTTTTTTTTACATATAAAATTACATATAGAGTCATAGGTTGTTATATTATTGTTCCTAAGAAACAATGCATTTATTGTACTTTAGGTATGATGATTTTATTATTTCTTAGATATGATGGTTTTATTGTACCTAAGGAATGATGATATTATCATTCCTTAAGGACGATGGTATTGATAGTATTATTGTATCTAAGAAATAATGGTTTAAATCTTAAAAATTCAAATATGCTACCAATATAAAGATCAAAATTATATAAATTATATTATGATTCTATCTTATTTTAATAGGAAAAGAAGGTAAAATAAGTTTAATATATAAATTTGAATTATAGAAAATAAAGTAAGAGATTTAACAATATTTTAAAATATAATAAATTAATTAATTTATTTTTTTATATTGAAGAATTAATAAACATTTAATACTATATTATTTATAATATAAAAATTTTGATTTTTAATTCAAGTTTTTTCAACTAAATTATAAATATGAGTTAAAAGTAATTATTTTTTATTTAAGCTATAATAATAGTAGTAAAAGTTTTAATAGATTTAACATATAATGATATGATTTAAAATAAATAAAATAATGTTTTCAAAGAAAATTAAATAATCATTAATGGTTTAATAATAAGTTAAAAAATTGTAATGCAATTCACTTAAATCTCTGAACAGTTCGATTTAGTTTAGATTAGATGCCAATTTGTATCTAAACTAAAAATTTCAGTTCAGTTCAGTTCAGATTATTAATCTTAAAAATGCCAATCTAAATCTAAACTGAACGCAGACTAGTGAAACTGTGATCCGTGACTATGTTACGGATAAGTCATGTGATCAGAATGATCGACATAGTTGATAAAGTTGATAGAGTTGTTAAAGTTGTCAACGATGATCAATTTAACA